TTTTTTTACAAAACGTGTCTATCTTTTTCACCTGTTACATTGATAACATAGACAACAAGAATGTTGTAGAGATTGTTAGATAAAGGAGAAAAAGAAGAAGAAGAAGAATAGAAATGTGTTTTGGGTTAAATAATCAGAATATTATTTCGCTTCGTTCGTTTTATAGATAAAAATTAAAAAAAAACAGTAGAAAACGAATGTATTTAAATTTTAGCTCCATGAATAACATAAGATTATTTGTGTATGTGAAGAATGATCTAACGCATGCTGTTATATAATTATATCTTTCTCTCTCATATGTTTCTTTCTGTTCTCTCATATATATCTCTTTCTTTCTCTCTCGTACATCAGGTACTTTTGTTCCTGTGCGACCTATCTGGACTTCGATCCATTGTCAATCTCTATTCATTAGCTTAATAAAGAGAAGAAAATTCTCTTTACATTATTTAACTCATGCTAGACTATAATAACAACGGGTGAATGAGAGTGGATATTGTGGGTACAGGATGTAAGGGTGTGAATGTAGATGTAGGAGTGAATAGAAGGAACATACGCACCCACACTCATCACATCTTCAAAAAATACAAAAATTCGGTAGCAAAAATTGTCGATAATTTGTTAAAACAAATCATTCATACCAGTGTGCAGCCTGGTATACTCCATTATTCGCTTTATCTGAGGTATGATCATCGATGATAAGATACCACAACACGACAAACTGCCACGAATCAAACGAAATCTCATTGACTCAAAAAATGACTAATCCGAAATTTAAATCTACAAACCTCCATTAAAGAGGAAAGAGGACTGGACATGGCGAACCTTAGTATGAAGGTGTGGATACTGATACTATATTTACCTAGCACCCACGCCCTCAAATAGTATTAGAAGTATGCAACGATACCACCACAATATTCTTCACATAACAAAACCCTTTCACCGATGTCTTTTAACTTTCATTATTAAGTTTTTCGGTGAAAAAAAGGCAAAAATATCAGTTTTTGAGCTTATCAGTAATCAAAAATGATTCTTTTTAACATAAAAGTTTAAAATTTGAAACTGGTACACCATACAGTCGATAGAGTTTGAAAAGTTCTATCAAACGATATATCATACGACTTTTTCATATTTTTTCTGAGATCAAATAAATTTACTTTTTATACTAGAGTTTTACTAGTTAGCGCTAATTGGTAATTAAAAATGGCTTAGAGAAGACATTTAAATTTTGTTTTTGCGTGAAATGATATCTACAAATTGGCAAAATTTCAAGGTATGTTTATAGGAAGGAACCCCTTCCCTTTAAATAAAAGAAAACTCTCATAGAATGAAACTAAGTATATGCCGTTAATTATTAAAAATGAAAATGAATTTTTCATGAGTAAGAATATTTCGGAAAATCTTCTTTACATTATAAACAAATTTTTTAAATTAGATTTTTTCTGTTTTGTTTTTAGTAATTGAAATAATATTAATATTTAGGATTATTTAAACAAAATTAAATAATGAGAAAAAAAACGTTTGTACAATTATGTATGTAAAATTAGTCTCGCATTCGCTTATAAACTTATTTCAAGACTCTTTTTCTTGTCCCTAATAAAACTCAATGGGCTCTATCCAAAGAGATGCTTAGATGTTTCATAACTCAAACGATACCCTCAAAATACTGATATCTTATATTACAATTTCAATACTCGATTCGCCTAATAACATCTTTAATATAAGACATCCTTTGACAAGATGATGATAATGAACGAGGTTTAACTTGAAACGAACATACTAAATCGTTTCTTTCTTTCTTCATATTCCATTTAGTACTGTTAAGGACAGATAAAGTTAACCTTTTACATATCAGTATTTATCGTTATCGTGTCTATACCGATATTAAATGAAATACGACGAGAGAAAGAGAGAATATTTAGTATGTTCTTTTCAAAGTAATACACATGGATTGAAATGTAAAATTAACCGTGGAATGATGATGAAACAGTTCTGTCATATCATGTCAAGATATAATACATGAATAATCATCGATATTGATATAATTAATTCATTGTTTATTAATAATTATTCTTCTTTAAAATTAAATATAATTTAATGATGAATTTTCTAATTGTTATAATGAAGTTTCGTTTGATATTGATTAATATTTAATTGAAAGTAAAACAAATGGTTATCATATAGCTATGATTATTCAGAATGGAAATATTTCAATGAATTCGAAAGTTAGTTGTTTTATAAACATTTATTTATTGTGATAAGTGTTTAGTTTAACATATGAATATTTCCTTATCGCAATTGACGTTGAAGTTGAAAAGGAAAATTAATCAATTTGTTTTCTTTTCTAGAAATTGCTCTTTTATTAAGATTAACAATGAAAATAGACCAGAAACAAAGAATTAATTTCTAAATAAAATAAAAGATAATGGATACTATTCAAAGTGAAGATATTCCTGATGTAACAATAATTGGTGGTGGAATAAGTGGTTTGGTTAGTGCATTACTTCTAAATCGTTTAAATATAAAAACTAGAATTTATGAACAAGCTGAAAATATGCAATCAATTGGTTTTGGTTTAAATCTTCAACCATATTGTGTAAAAATTCTTTATGAACTTGGACTTGAAAATGAATTAAATGAAATTAGTATCAAAACAGGCAAAGTTTTATATTATTCTCGTTATGGTCAATTAATATTTGAAGATCTTCGTGGTTTAGATGGAGGTTATCGCTTGCCTATGTGTTCAATACATCGAGGATATCTTCATCAACTTTTATTTCGTCGTGTACAACAAAAATTAGGTCATTCATCTATTAAACTTTCACAAAAATGAATTACTTTTACAAATAAATCAGATTATATACAAATGGATTTTCTCAATACAACAACAGGCGAGATAAAAAGTGATGTGACTAAATTATTAATAGGTGCTGATGGAATTAATTCAAGTGTAAGGAAAATTCTTTATTCAAATGAAGGACCACCAATATGCCAAGGTCTTCATATATGGAATGGATTAACATCTGTTGATAAACTTTATTTAGATGGACGAACAATGATTTGTATGGGAAATCCAGATACAGCATATTTTATAATGTATGATTTAAATAATAACCTGATTAATTGGGCTTGTGTTAGTAGAGTTAAACAAGAAGATACATCTTTCTTAGCACCAGATAAATCTGAATGGACTAATATCGGTCATTGGAAAGATTTTCTTTCTTTTATTAAAGATATGAAACTTGATTTTATTGATATTGAACAAATAATTAAATCATCAACTGTTATTAATCAATTTCCAATTACAGATCGTAATATTATTTCTCGGTGGACATTTAATGGTGTATAACTCTTATTGGTGATGCAGCACATCCAATATATCCAAATGGTGGCAATGGTGCATCACAACGTATATTAGATGCTCATCAATTATATCTTTCTTTCATTCATTCATTATGGTATTAATAATGAAACTTTTCAAGATTATGAAAATAATCGACGCCCATTAACGGATAAATTTATTTTATTAGCACGTCAATATGGTCCAGATAAAATTCTTAAGATTATTGATGAGCGTTTACCAAATACATCTACAAGTATATCTGATATTATTTACAATTATAAACAAACATCTGGTTGGGATAAATATTTATTAAATAATAAAGATTCACTTTCTTAATATGATTTTTATAAATAAAGAATGTGAACTATATAATTATATAACTTTTCATTTTTAAATTAAGTAAAAAAATATCTCAATACTATTCTTTTAGTTAAGAAAGAGATTAGTGAAATACATAGAGAAAATAAATTCAGAATCGTATTATTTTAAATTTTGTATTTATAATTATTCATCATGGTTGCTGCCATTAGAAATAATATTTAATATTCGTCGAGAATAAACTCTTATTAGAAAACAATTTCTTTGCTTTAATAATATATTTCCTCATCTTCATAAATCAACTACATTTTTTGTTTTGTATCAAAAAATATTGTTTGGATGGATTTGAAAAGATAGTTACAAAATTTAGACAAAACAAAAAACAGGTCTTTGATAGGTCTTGAAGTATTTTGATTCTCCTAAATGAATGATACAACATTTTTCGAAGACAATAAATATGTATCCTACTTTACTCGATATTTTCACACAGAGAATTCAGCGACCATATCTAAGTGAGGAAAGCATCAAAAAATTCTGAATTTAGCACAAGGTCTATGTCGATTTGATCAGAGACCTTCTTCTAGATAAGTCGATAAAAATGAATCTGTCGTCAATTTTACTTGACTTTGTGAAGTACATACAGCACTCAGATTTAAATCCGAAGTTTTCGCATTAATTTCCTTCCATTTCTGAACAGACAGAAATTGAGAAAAGTCTAAAATAAGATATATAATATTTTAATTAATATATTGAAAAGTTTAATATATTCCTTCTACAAAGAATTCTACATGTCCATATTCACATCCACCGGCACTCTATTGTAATGATTAGAATGGGTGCTAGGCAAATATTTTAAACAGTAAGTAATTCAATGGCAAACTGAATGAGGCAAAATATGATCACAAAAAAAGTCTATGTAATCTCACCTACGTGCGATGAAAAAAGTATGAACGCGGAGGACGAAAAGACATATTTTTCTTTGTCAACAAAGATGGATACCAACGAAGAAAAGAATGAATTGAAAAGTACGCTGCTCTTTTGCGTCCTGAAGGTGCGCATAACCTCAACTAATAGTGCGATGTTATCGAATGCACTTTATATCTTAATATAGTATGATCAAGAGAAAAGGTAACATAGCCATTCAAGTATATAAAGACAGATGATTTTTCATTTTTAGCAACAAGTACGTAAAATGTTATCTCTATCAATAATTCTACTTCTCATATGCATTGGTTTAATCACTTATTATTTTCTTCAACTGAGACAACATTATCAATACTTTAGTCGACTTCATATTCCCACACCACCTTTTCATTTCTTTTTTGGTCACCTTAAAACGTTATGGAATAGCACATCTTTTCCCCGTCAATTTGAAAGTTGGACGAAAGAATATGGCAAGATCTACGGAGTTTATCAAGGAACTGTTCCTACTTTTGTTGTCAGCGATCCTGATTTTCTTCAAGAAGTTTTCGTTAAACAATTTGCCGCTTTTTCAGGACGAACGAACTTTTTTGCAAGTGCTAAAATTCAAAATGTCTTTACTTCATCGGATGCAACATGGCGTCGGCATCGTCACGTAATAAATCCAACATTTTCTGCCGCCAAACTAAAACTGATGAGTCCTTTAATCAATGGATGTATTACTAATGTTATGGAAAAATTAGTCGATCATGTCACCTCCGATAGTGAATTCAATATCTACACATATTATAAACGTATGACAATGGATGTAATATGTAAGTATATCTTCACGATTTTCTTTCAACATAAAGTTAGTATATGGTTACGATTCTTTTGAAGTTTACAAATCTCACCTTTTGTACTGTCTTGAAATGATGATCAGAATCATTTTTGCAGAGTTAACAGTTTCTCAAATCTTACGATTGAATTTTTTAGTAGTAACGTCCTCTATGAGTATTTCTAGAAGACCTTACTGTATATATCGAAAATGATAGAGTAACTTTCTTCCGATTAACGAAATCGTTTCTTGAAGAGAAGTTGTAGTAAATACTACCAAGTTTAAGTGCGTTTTCAAGAGAGAAAAATGTTTCGATTACTATAATTTCTAGTATGATTTAGGTCGATGTGCATTTGGACTCGATACTGATGTACAGAGTAATCCAAACAATATGTATTTCAAGAAAGTGGAGGAACTCTTTGGTGCTCGCATTAGATCGAGTATTTTCTTCAAACTTCTTCAAGTTGTGCCTCAGGTGCGAACTACAATTGTAAAAATCTTTGATAGCATCAACAACGTTCGAGCGTTCATTAATATTCGTCTTTTACCTTCGGTATCAAAAAAACAATTGCATGAACGACCAGATATGTGGCTTCATAATCGACTACATTCAGTTATCGAGCAACGACAACAAGCGCCAACCTCACGAGTTGATCTTTTGCAATTAATGTTACAAGTGATCACCACCGAACAAATTAATGTAAGTAAGATATGCAATTGCTATTTTCAATTTTATTAGAGAGAGTAAAGGCAATTACAAGTGTATCTTAAATACATTTCTTCTTTAGGATGTTGTACAAGATGGAAGCAAGACAAACTATCGACTAACTCGAGAAGAAATAGTCAGTAACATCTTTATCTTCATGTTAGCAGGATATGAAACAACATCAACTACTTTGGCTTTTGCAACGTATGAACTTGCTCGACATCCGGAAGTTCATCGCAAACTTCAAGCTGAAATCGATCAACTTCCATTGACCACTGATGATATGTCAGACGACGACATGAAAAAATATCCTGAGTATGATATAGTAGCACAGATGCCTTATATGGATTTATTTGTATCAGAAGTACTGAGAATGTATCCCATAGCAAATCAAGCCATTCAAAGACGTGCCTCCGAAGATACGATCGTGCAAGGAATTAAAATCGAAAAAGGTAACTACATGACAATGGTATATGAAAAAATACATGTCTTTCATCTTCTAAAGGCACCTTAGTATATGCTGATGTTTATTCGATCCATTACGATCAGGAACTTTGGGGACCGGAGGATCCCAAGATCTTCTTTCCAGAACGTCATGAAACAAAACGTCATCCGATGGCTTATTTACCATTTGGAGCAGGACCACGACATTGTATTGGCATGCGCTTTGCATTAATCGAAATGAAGATTTTACTAGTTCGACTACTCCGAGAATATTCTATTTTGCCCGGTGAACATCTCCATAGTAAACTCAACATTCATGAACAACCAGCTCTCGCACCGGAAGCAGTGTGGGTGAAATTAGTAAAAAGAAGTGTTTAAAAAAGACAATCATACGATATTCACAAATCTAAAACTTTACTTTTGTAAAAATACTCTTCTAATAAATATACGAGAAACATAATGCACACGTCTCAAGTATATTTTTTTCAAAATAATCCAAAAAAATAAAAGAATAAAATTATTCGTTGGCAAAGAATAAGTTTACTGAAGTACAGATGTGGATATTTCAATGCTCACACCCACATTCTTAGAATACATGTTGTACAATGACGGCACAATAAGGTTGGATTTCATTCATATATATGTGTTAATCTGTATATTGTTCTCTAATCTATTATTCAATAACAACTTTGTTCACTAGTACACTTAAAGAGTAATACTTCAGATGCTGTAAGTTGTTTTCGAATATCGGCTTCTGTTTTAGCTCGTTCTATCAATGCTTGTAAGCACCAATTCGAGTTTAATCCATGTGTAACATCTTGACTTCTTATATCCATTTCTGATGATGGATAGGAGATGCAAGGAACCAATCTACTATTACCATTAATCAATAATTTGCCAATTTCGTCAAAATTAACACTTGATAAATCATCGTCACTGTTCGTGGCACTATCAGTCTCATCGCCAACAACAAAACCAACAGTATCAAATTCATAGGTTGTTACTGACTTTAGGTCGTCATTTTGGATAGTTGATGGAGACGACTCAATGCTTTCGTTATCAGGGTTCGGAATGTTTTCAGGAGTGATACTAGGCTCGGATAGTGTCAGAGATGATCTGCTGTCATAGTCTTCGCTAGCTAATGGAGGAACATTGTTTATTTGTTGACTTTGATATACTTGTGCCGTTGTTACTGATGGCTCAATGTCATGCTGTTCATTTTTAGTTCGCTTCTCGTGATGTAACACACCATTTATTGTATCATCAGCGTCGACTGTTAAAAATTAGAATGTATATATTAAGAACACATGAAAACGCATGAAAACGCATGGAATTGTATAAGACAATGTCTTTTAATTGGGATTATTCAGCTTTTTGGATTATCTGTATGAAAAAATGCTACAAAAAATGGTGTTTTTTTTACAGAGATTGCTGGAAAGGGTAACTTTAATTCTCAAAGCAATATGGCTTTATATCGTACTCTTATGGAATTTTGTAAATCTTCAGTTGATGCTTCTGATGCATACATGATCCTTGCAAATTATTCTAGTCAGCGTAGAAAGTATATTATTTTACAAATAGTGCGATTAATAACTTTAACAATTTATTCAAAAAATACTCAGCCGGTTATTTTTTGAGAAGGTATTAGGATGCATACTTTCACTTTCTACTTGAATAGTACAAGTGCATGTACTTGCGAAACACGATATAAAAGGAGTGTAGAAGTATAGGAGTAGAAACTTGAACACGTCCTCCCCTTCTCTATAAACCATAACAGATGTCTTAGCTGTGCAGCTTCCTCACAGACTCTGACATACACGTCAGCATTTTGGTAATCTACGATGGGTCCAGCTTAAGTGACTTTCCTTATTTTAACAGTATTATATCGATTCTATACTGCGATAGGATAGACATTGTAGTGTGAAAATAATTTTTTATATTAATTACTTTGTTTGTTTTCCTGCAACAAAGGCTTATTCTTGACAGGCTTTGTCTTCAATGAAGCAGATTCTTTGTCAGACTTTCGCTTCGAAATACACGAAAGTCGTCCTGAAACGTAAAGAGAATGGAAATTGATACAAAAAACATAAAGTGCATATCCTTACTAAATATGCTGACCATGAAATATTGTAAGGACTCGAATACGATTTGTTTTTTTCCTGCTCCTTGTGAAACTTTCTCAATGTTAATGGACTGTGATGTGTCGGTCGACGATAAACTGAAGTAACGAATACGATTATAAATGCACCTTTCTTATTTTTACATCAGTTTTTATCGAGATAAACAGAGCAAAGAGAAAAACATGCTATGAGTAATATTAACGTATGAGTCACTTTAATGTGCATTCTCCTCATCCACACAAACAATGAAAAAATGACGTGATAAATTCTAACGACAATAAAATCATACAAATGAGTGGAATTATCTGAATCCCGTATGTACTCACAGCGACACTCATCCTCACGATTGACAGTTATGTCTGACATATTATCCAATGGCCTTTATTTAAATATTACATATAAATAAAATAAGAGCTCCATCTTTCTATTATGTCTTTTTTGAAGCAATGTATTTTTTTAGTATTATATCTTTATATTCGTTGATCAAATTGTATAGTTGCATGGACAAGATTTGATTAAAACAAATAATTTCAAATGTATAAAAAACCTTTGAAAATCATCAGATCGAAATTTCACTGATTGTGATTTAAATTCATTTTTTTAAAATGTTTCTAAGACATGTCGATAATTTGAAAGTTAGAAAAGAGTTTACTTCATCATATCGCGTATTTCATTATTATTTTATACATCCACACCTTAAAGAATATCAGTGTTTTCGATTGCAAAAATAGTTTTTTTCTACCCATACAACGCAGTTGACTATGCTATTAAACGCGTGAAAATATGATTTCATCGTATAACTGCTGTTACGAGAAAGAAATATTTACATAAGGAAGCAAGAGAAATGTGTAATAGGACACATCATTTTTTATCACCACACCTATTTCTCGTCAGTCTCCTATTCTCAAAGAACTCGCTTATTTGTGTATACTGACAGTCATGGTGAACAGAGAAGAGGGTAATTTTTTACAATTTTCTGGTGTCTGAACTGTGTTAATAAGGATCTCACTTTTAACATTTCCAGTTTGCAATAGTCTCTTTTTTTGTTAAACTATTTGACGTTTGTGCATTATGCCGTATTTTTAGATTCAAAACAGACATATCTCGACAAAAACAACAACATAATCATCATGTGGACTCTTTCAGCTTTTTCAGACGAAGCCGGTGCTTCGTGCGACGAACAAATTAGTGCAGCGAAACGTGCCGGTCTTTCACGCATTGACATTCGTAGTATTGATGGCTTTAATATTACGACAATGCCTCTTGAAAATGCAAAGACCATTAGAAATAAATTGGATGATGCCGGAATTTCCGTACAAATGTTCGGTTCGCCGATCGGAAAAATCGATGTTCTGGATGATGTAGAAATTGATATTGATAAATTGCGGCATCTAGCAGCCCTGGCACCGATATTCAATTGTAATTCAGTTCGCATTTTCTCTTACTATAACAAAACGAAAATCTCACATGTCGAGTGGTGCAATAAGTCACTATCAAACCTTACACGTTTACGTGATGAAGCTGAAAAACTTGGCCTAGTACTTTATCACGAGAACGAACGCTATATTCACGGTGATCGGGTAGCGGACGTGAAAGAGATTGCAAATCTTCGCAGCGCAAACTTCAAAACGATTTTCGACTTTGACAACTACCAACAGAGCGGTGAAGATGTTTATAAAGTCTGGCAAAGTCTGGCGGATCAAACTGATAGCTTCCACCTGAAAGATTCGACCTCCGAGAATATGCATGTTCCTGTTGGACTCGGAAACGGACAGGTCGAGAAGATTTTACGCGACGCCGTTGCTCAAAACTGGAAGGGTCCAGTCGCTGTTGAACCACATCTGTCTCACTCCGAGGCTGTCGTTCTGACAGGTCCAAGCGGTATTGTGAACGAAAGTTACGCCAATATGCCTTCCGCTGAGAGTTTCTATCTCGCAGTTGAAACGGCGAAGAGACTTCTGAATAAAATTGGAGTTAAATGGAACTAAAATTTTTATCTTGAGAGAAGGTGTGAATGTGAGCAAATGAATGGTTTTGCTTTATTCAAATTCTGATCATATCTACTTCCACCATTACAGTCATCCTCAAGACACATTATGGCAGCTATCTGCTAATTTAAAGTTTGTTGTTAAGTTTTATTTGAATGTTTTCTTCGAAATATATTCACATCGATTTATCTTTTTAGTCTTGTTCTAGTCTCATTGAGTCCTATTTATAAACAAAATATGGTCTTCAAAACGATTTTGTAAATTGATAGACCCTCCCTTTCATTGGCGATGGAAAAGAAAGACAAACTATTCGTATGAACACTACAGACTAAGAGCGATCAGTGAGCATCTTGTAAGTTTTAAGCGTTTTTGTTAGAACTCTCAAATTATGGAGTGCGCTGTGAACTCGAAAATCAAAAGTGAATTCGTATAGGGATTCCTAAAACTTTGGGTTCCATTTAACTATTCGAGTATTTTTTTTAAATAAAACATCGAATTTGATTTTCATATGATAATGGAGTATCTTCCATTTATTTTGATTCATATTGATTATACATCTTCACTACGAAATAAAATAAATAATATTAATTGAAATAAATTTTATCAACATTTAACTCATAAATGTACTGAATAGAATAAATGAATAAATAATTTCAATATAAACACATTTGTAATAGACTGACCTATATAGATGAATGGAAAATAACTTTCTTCAAATAAAAATTGGCTTTTGAATTAGGGTGGGTGTGGGTGTGAGTGCTAGGTGAATTCAGTATCCATACTCACATCTACATCCAAGATGTACATTTTATGCCGATAGTGTTTGGCCTCTGATCCATGTATTTCATTTATCCATCCTTGGCATATCCTGTTTATCTATTCTTTATACATACCATGTTATTCTTCATGTTTCTTGCGTGTAGACCTTGTCTATCTCTTTGTATGGCGAAGAACATTCAATGCATATAAAAAGACGGGGAAGGTAAGTAAGAGGGAATTGGAAATTATTATCGTTATATAGTGTGTTTAGTTTATTGTACAACGTTTGAAAACGACATCTTATTTAAATAAAGATTGTTACCATCACTATCATCTTTCATATTCATTACATCTCGAATTTGTTTCACAGCTGCACACAAATGATATACGAATATTCTATTTGGTAGAGAAATGAGATTCTCTTTGAGAATTTTATTACTCTATCAGAGATTTTACGTTCGTTTAGTTTTTCTCCCTATTGACTCGCGAGAGAAAAAAGTAATCTATTCATAAAACTCTTTTATTATTATGATCCTCTGAAGAATACTTGAGAATTATTCTCTCATGAAAAGTCAAAACAGCTATGATTACAATCCTTATCGACAAAACAAAATCACGAATTTAGTTGTTGGTATAGTGGACCTATTTAAAATGTATATTTGTGCAGAAAAAGTAGTGAAATTGTTTTATCAACTACCAGTGACGGTAACAAATGAAATAAGTAGGCAAATCTGTCATTTGAAAATTTTCATACTCTAGATTTCAACATTTATTGAATGTAGTGCTATAGTATCTTGCGGTTGCGGGTGTAGGTGCATGCAGTCCTTCCATCCACCCTCATTCATCTGTTGTTATTGGAGTTTGGCATCTGTTAGATCATGCTTCACATACACAAATAATCTCATGTTTTGTATAAATACATTTCTTTTATTTATAAAGCAAAAATTTAAATACATTTATTTTCTTTTGTTTTTAATTTTTTTCTATAAAAACGAACGAAACGAAATATTATTCTGATTATTTAACCCAAAAGACACATTTCTATGCTCCTTCTTTTTCTTCTTTATCTAACAATCTCTACAACATTCTTATTGTCTATGTTATCAATGTAACAGGTGAAAAAGATAGACACGTTTTGTAAAAAAACGTTTAACACTGTTGGTGGTAAAATAATATTATTTTACTTTTAGATACATAAATACAAATAGTTTCTTAAATTCATAGCAACAAAAATGACTAATGAACTAAAGAATGAAGAATTTGTTTTATCTACTCGTCCTTCGGATCAAACTGAAATCAAATCAGCTTGGAAACTACAATCATGTCCAATGCCAACTATTACCAATGATAATGAATTTATAATAAAAACATTATTTGTGTCTGTCGACCCTTATCTAAGTAGTGGCTTAAAAAAATCAGCATTAGGAGGTGATACAAATGCAATTGGTTCTGTTCAGATATCAGGCTTAGTAGGTCGTGTTATCGAAAGTAAAAACTCAAATATTCCAGTTGATACAATTGTTACAGGAAGATTCGGATGGAGAAAATATATTCTTGCTAATGGCACAGAACCAAGATTTCGAATTGTACAAAAATCAACAGACAAAAATACAATCTATGATAACATTGGTTCTAGTACCGCAATTGGAGTACTGGGAATGCCTTCACAAACAGCTTATTATGGAATATTGTCAGTTGCCAACACTCAACCATCAGATGTGTTAGTGGTAAGTGGGGCTGCAGGAGCTGTTGGAACAATTACAGGACAAATTGCAAAGAAAATAAGAGGTGCTCAAAAGGTCATTGGAATTGCTGGTGGACAAAAAAAATGTGATTATCTTGTGAATGAATTAGGATTTGATGCAGCAATTGATTACAAAGAATATAATACAAAAGAAAAAATGGTTAATAGATTAAAAGAACTAGCACCAGAAGGAATTACACAGTATTTTGATAATACAGGTGGTTTTGTTACTGATGCAGTATTTGATATTATCAAAAGACATGGTAAAATAATTATCTGTGGTCAAATTAGTACTTATAACAATAGTGAAGAAGATCCATCTAAAATTAATATTTATCCAAATTATTTAGCCAAAACAATCTATCGTGGCTTATCAATTTTAGGATTTGTTGTTAGCGACTTTTTTGATCGAAACGAAGAAGAATTTTATAAAGATATGCCTGTTTGGTTAAATGAAGGTACGATTAAATTTCAAGAAACGTTTGTTGATGGATTTGAAAACTTACCTCGAGCATATGAAATGCTTTTTACTGGTGAGAATATTGGAAAAGTCGTTGTTAGAGTTTAGATGTTTAGTATTTCTTATCATCATTTGTGATTATGCTTCAAAGAGTATGACTTTTTTTGTATTACTTTTTATGATATAAAAACTATTACGAAATAAAAAAAGCGGTTCACAAAATGTCTTTGAGATTAAAATATGTAATACAACTAATTTCTTCAACTAGAAGAACACCATCTACAATCGAAATTCAGAATCAACTTCATTCTTATCTCATAAGCTGTGCAGAAGATGTGGGTGTGAGCATTGAATCATTCCACACCCACCCTCAAGATTCAAAGTTAAAAAGTGTTAGTCTTTCCAAATGTAAAAATATTTTGTTGTTTGAAATCCATTAAATTTCATCGAAAGACTACTTGAATAAGCACCAACATGATAAAAAAGAAGATGATC